CCCCAAAACCCCAAAACCCCAAAACCCCGTGGATACTACTGAGAGTTGCTTATTCAATTGAGAAGATGCAATCACACTTCAATTAAAAATGAAATAATTTATTAAAGTACTAGATATATACAAACAGTAAGGACAGTATTTAATTATTTACATATGAAGTAGAACTTTGAAATAATGGATCCAAAAAACTAAAACCCCAAGCCATTATCAGTTAAAGAGGTTAGATTTTCCATATTTAATGGTAAAACAGGTTGAGGAAGCCCGTGAAAGAATTAAAAGGTTGCACCCTTTGGCTTCAGTTCCCCTTGTAAAGGTGTTTCCAGCTTTCGCATGTTGCTTGAGATGCTGTTCGAAGCCAAATAAATACTCTTAATTAGTTAATGACGAGGATAGAGATGATCTATAAAGACTTGTAAATATTTTATATTTAAGTTAAATCTCTCCTGTAGGATACTATAGCCAAAGATCTTGGTATTTCTATAGATCAAGAAGAGAATGGAAATCAGAAACTAAACAATAATGTTAATAATCCCAGCGATGATCCATATCTCAATCTTGGATTCGGCATAGTTGCTTACTTCAGAATGATTTAGACTATGATTTTCCTATTTTTCGTGTTTACACTGCTCTCTATACCAGCTATTTTCATTTATAGTTCTCATAACGGCCTGGAAGGACTATAAAATTACTCTAGAGCCAAATACAGTTTAGGTAATATGGGTTTCTCAAATGCTGTTTGCTAGTCTATGTATATTGGAATCGAGAGTCCTCAGTAAATTAAATGCAAGGAGGGCAAGATTAAGAAACTTTTCAGTTATGGAATTATTCCCATTGAAAGTGGCAATGAGGCTTATTGCGGCTTAGCTTCAAAAGGAAATGATAAGATCTAATATTGCTCATCACCTCAATATATTGATTCTGATAGCCTTAATAAAGACTTTGAGACTAGCTGCAAAGGCAAGAGTTAATGTGATAAACCAATTTACTATCACCACTATGTCAAATTTGATATCAAGGACAATTGTAATGCTGATCACGCCCTATTTTATCTTCAATATTTCTGCGAGCAAGAGAATGGCGATGTCAATGATAAGAGACAAGAGGCCTTGATAGTAGCATGCATGGGCATATTTATTTCATTGATATTCTTATGTGCTGTTTACTATTTGTTTGAGAGTTCTAAAATTGACTACAAAATGTGGGATGTAGATACTGTAACGGCAGCAGACTTCACAGTTGAAAGTATTATATCATAAGAAGCATGGGATAAGTTTGTAGGCATATATGCTAAAAACTTACAACCTAATGAGACCTTAGTCAATAAATTCCATGAAGTTTATTAAAAAGAAGTTGAAAAAGTTGTCTCAATGGAGGAAGGAGTTTTATCACAAAGTTAAAACTAAGATATCAGAGTATCTAATATTACCTTTGCCTTTGATAATGTGGAACTTTTGAAACTATTATAAAAGAGAGGCATGATGGTGACAAAAGCTCTTCTAAACAAAATAAAGCAGATAGATGATGAGATCAATAACATCAAAGATTAAAAGAGAAAACAACTTACAAGGCCTGTCGCTGCTTTCATTACATTTGAAACTTAAGAGGGATATGAGAGAGCTTGCAATATTAAGGGTAAAAAGAACTGGAAATAGGAAATAGTATCCTCAAAGCATATGTTCTAAGATTAGCCACTCTGCTTCTAAGAAGCTCCAGAGCCCACCAATATTATTTGGGAAAATAGAGATAGAACATTCAAGCAATAAACAACCAGAAAAATCATAGTCTTGGTTGTTATAATAATTCTGCTGCTCTTAGCATTCGCAGCATTCTTCTTCCTAAAGTAATAAACCATAAGAAACTATTAAAAATATCCACCTACAACTGATTGTTAGTCAATTCTCGACATGTTTGATGGTGGAATTGATAATACTGAGTTCAGAGGCTATGCAGATTTCGATGGCCCGCTAACAGAGTCAAGGAAAGGTACAGGTATCTACTAATGCTATTGTTAAGAATACAAAAAATAGAAAGGAAATTTAGATAATGCAAAGATATGCGATGACTATTCATAAGACTAGCTTATTGGATTAGGACTTTCAAAAGTAGTCTCAGTTGCCATTGTCATTATCAATTTCGTACTTAGAACTCTTAATATGGGATTAATCTCATTTATTGGTTATTATACAGAGAGTCAATAAACCTTAGTCATCAAGTCTAGCATTTTCATATCATAATTCTTCAATACTGCTATTTTATTGATCTTGACAAATGCTAACACTTAGCAAACATTTTTGTCTTTCATTCCATTCGAAGGGCAATATCCAGATCTTACATTTGAGTGGTATAATGATATCGGCTCCTCACTGGTAATTACTATGCTCACGGCTGCTTTATGGCCTATTATTGAATTTGTGATGTTCTCTGGATTAAAGTAATTCTTTAGATTATTAGATAGAAGCTTTTCATGCAATCCAAACAAGACTAAATGCAAAACAGTTTAATAATATGTTAATCTTTATTCAGGACCTGACTATCTTATGCATTTTAAATACTCTGCTATGTTGAACGTTACATTCGTGACATTTATGTATGGCTTAGCTATTCCATTGTTATTCCCAATTGCCTTTTTATACTTTATTGTGCTTTACGTTGTTGAAAAGCTGTGCTTGACTTACTACTTTAAAAAGCCACCTATGTATGATGAAAAATTAAACGAGAGTGTAATTGGGACCATGAAGTGGGCTCCTGTGTTCATGATGATCTTTGGCTATTGGATTATGGGTAATAGACAAATCTTCCACAATGTAGTCATCGAAAATTAACTTAAGTCAGATCCTATTCAAACAGATCATGCAGGTTATGATATTTCTATTGATGTGTCTTTACCATTATTTATAATGGGTATCGTAATGTTTATATTCATCTTCTTCAATGATCTCTTCCTTACAATACTTCTAAAACTTAGAATCATTAAAGAAGATAAAGAGGATGAAGTTGATGAAAAGCTAGGTACTTACGTATAATGCTTAGGCAAGAAAAATAGACAAATGTGGAGAATTGAGGAGTAGCACATGAGAAAAGAATTTGGAATAAAAACATTAAATGAGAATACACTAGCTGAGATGAAGAATAATAAGACTCATAACAAACTTATCAAAACATGTCCAAACTATGAAATTACAACTAACCCTAAATATTCTGCTGCGTTCTAATACACATCAGTTGATATGAGAGACACTGAGGAGGAGAAACATACCTCAGATATGGTTGCTAAGATGCTATATCTTGCTTATTTCTCTAAAGAAGAATGTAAGTTGCATTTAATAATTTTAATACTATTTAGAGAAAAAATTCGTCTTCAAAGGAGCCTAAAATATATTCAAGAACGGAATGAGTCTTAAATTTGGCAAGCAGGATGACTTCAAAGCTATTCAGCCATCTCTTGAAAATGAAGAGGAGGGAAAGCGTGATATTGAATGAGTTGTGATTTATTATTTGAATCAAACAATATAATTTAGTATCTGCAAGCTATTAAGGGAAGATGGGGTTTTGGGGTTTTGGGGTTTTGGGG